TGAGTTACGCTGTTGACAGCAGCATGGTACCCGCGGCATTCTTTCACATTTCACTTGTTAAAGTTAAGCAGATTTTTCTTGCTACCGATATGGGTAAAAACATACCCCCCCCTTAGAAAACTACCTTTTTTCTCATGAAATAGATTAGTTTGTAACAAAATTTTTAATGTGAACAATGTCAATACAGAAAAGCACAAAACCTCCCCAACAGCACCCCGCATTCTTGGTATACAGTAATAGTGAGACTGAAACAAATTCATTGCTATAGTCACCGTAGTAACGCTTGTTCCATAAATTGTTCTCAAGTTCTTGAAAATTCAAGCACTGTATGTGTACTCAAAGAATATTTCTTAGTTCCAACTAGAAGGAAAAGCACTCACGGGGCTAAATATTAAAACAAGGCACAAGTATATACATGTACGTGCACTCTGCTTGGCTTGTTCAGTCATCTGTATGGGAGGGGAACAGATTTTTGGGGGGAAACCCTTTCTTCGACCGACCGACCCGCCCTCAAGTTCAAAAAGATTATAAGAACCATAGAATAAAAAGGGTGCCCTTGGTGGCATCCAGAATCACAAATAATTGCAACACTTGTGCATGGACAGGTGGAACGCGCGCGTTATATGCCTTTTCGACTAATAAGGGGTGTGTTCGATTAGCTTACACGTGTAAGTCAAACTTACACAAGAGCGTTAGTTTAGCCATCACGTGATCTTCGTGCCTGCTCTGGTGTGAGCCACCACCAAGCTGGCGAGCGGGTCTGTGGAGGCTGCCCGAGTGTAATGACGTCACGGATGAACTGTTCATGCATGGACATGATGGAACGTGGCGGCGAATACACTGCAGCGTTCGATTCGCCTCATTTCGAGGCTTCCCTTGGTGTAACACTGGTGTATTCAGGGAAGCTAATCGAACGCACCCATTGTAGTGTTTTGTGACTTGCCAAAATGCACGCGCGGGTCAAGGTTAAGAAGGTGCGTGTGAGTGCGGCGCTTCTGCAGGTATGGCGTCTCTTCGAATTACTCTCCACACTCTGCCTCTTGGTGTCGTCTTGTGAACCAGGACACTGGTCTGTCATTCGTTTAATGTCATTCGGTATCAGACTGAAAGTTCCTCTACATTGTAGAATAGAACATTCACTCTATTACCTCACAAAATTAAGTGTACTTATCGCTGCAGCCACAAACATTCATTCTTGCTCATTGACAGCGACATTTCGCATTGTTATTTGGTCTTGTTTCCGAAGATACCGGAGGATCAATTGGCGTTTATTAATGACGCGAACGACGCCGGCGTGGTCCTGTTCTCTCTCGGTACCCACGTGAATGAGATGGAGGTGACACGTGCCGAGATGCTCGCGCGGAGCCTGGCCAAGCTACCTCAGCGAGTGGTATGGCATTTCCCTGGTGACACGTCAAAGCTCCCCCTAGGCAACAACACCAAGGTTGTGCAGTGGATGCCAATGCAGAAGATAATGGGTCGGTGTATTAGCTTCTAGATATAAAATTTCAATCGGGCGCCGCGAAGATCACGAAAACCCCTGTAGTTTTTAATAAGACCTGGCGATCTATGCGTTTATAATGTCTGTGATACACACAAAATCCAAATCATTGCAAGAGGGCGTTGCGTACATGTTCACAAACCTGACTTGTACATGAAGCGCCCCGCGCAAAGAATTTGCACGCGCACAGTTGGTCAGAGCCGAGTATCCGCCCTAAGTTGAAGTGCACAACCAAGCGACAAAAGAAAGACTGATGATAGTATACAAATACAGCATGGTTTGAGGGGAAGTAGTGGGAATTACTGGCCCGGAGGGACCAGTAATTTTTACTATTTTCCCGAAATAAACCATGCTATATTTTCTTTCGCTACACCTCATAAATTGCTTTCAATTAAAATGTTCAATTCTGCAAGTTCGGACTGAGAAACCTCTTCAAAATCCACCTTTTTGTCTTGACAGTATTTTTGCAGGAGTCCAACTGCCTTGTCAGTAACTGCCTTCGTAGATTTTGCATCTTTATTCAGCACAATAAGTTTACGTTCATTATCTATAAAGACGGAAATCTACTGTTACTTGTACTCACAGACGCCATTGTTGTTTCTCAGCTGCTAAATTTCCGTTCAATGCATAGTCGAGTGCAGATGTACATAGCAACAAGCATACGCAGCAAGGTATGAGACGGAGAGAACCCCCCCCCCTGCTTTGTGTTGGTCATTGTCTCGCCGGAATGTGGGGAATTCCTTTCAGACACCTTGGGGGGGATGTGTTAAGTAACAATAGTCTGGAATGTGTATAGGGATTGGACATGTTGGGAGGGGGGTANCATTTCTTGCTGGGTATAGCAACAAGGCTACAATAGTCTGGTGCTGACATACGTTTTGGGTCTTTACTGTGATAGTTATTAGGATACAACTCAAGACTGGTTCTGTAAAGATTAAATAACACAGAGTTCATTTTAACGCGCGCGGCGGGTTCCACAGGGATTTTTCGGTGCTTCCGGGAAAAAAAAAGCTACCGCACGGCACCGAGGTGGATCTGCTCTGGGCATTGAAGCGACTGCACGGCCATCTCCGGCTATTCAATTCAATGGCATTTTCCAATTCATCGGCTTTAGTGCCGTGCATGAATGCACTTTAGTGAATGGACTGAAGTTGGAGGCCATTGTACTGAATATCCTAAGATGGCCGCGCGGTCACTTCAATTCACACATAGTCATTTACTGCTGAGCTGCCTGTCCAGTGTATAGAGATCAGTGATGCTCACACGGTTGCCTATCATTTCTACTTCCCAGACGAGAGGTGGAATTGGCCAGTGAAGCGCTCCGACTTGTCCTGAATATTTATAAGGTGTAGTAGTTGTCTAAGCAACTGGTTCTTGAACGCGGTCTGCGTATACGCAAAGACCATACGTTAAGGAATAAAGTCGTTACGCGTACTCAGCGTGCTGCACGTCAAACGAGCTATTCATCTCATTATGAACGCGCGCCTATGCGGTGAGTATCATCCTCGTCTCCGTGGGTTGCGTGCGCGTTCCTTCACATCGCGCAAGGGATGGCGGGGACTAACGTGGCGCAGCAAGGTCGTTCCCATGGGAACGAGGTGGGTGAGTACTATAAAAAAAAGCCCTCTTTTGTTCCGCTCGGAGCGCCGGGATACGGCCACAGACATATAAACACATAGACCATAGCGGAAGGTAAAAGGAGTTGCAACTCAGGCACTTCAAAGTGATCAGTGATGGTCGCCGCCGAGTCAGACGAATAATAGAAAACATTCCAAAAATGCCGGATTACTGCCCCCCCATCTTAGCTGGACAAGCGGGGCCTGTAATATCCTAGCAATACCTTGTAGTTTTAGTTTTTTTGCTGGGGGGTAAATACAAATGATCGATGTGACCAGGAAAAAGAGAGAGAAAAATCCATGATAATAGACCTACTTTTGCCATCGTAAATGAACTTTTAAAATTTTGATACTCTGTCTGTTATCCATGCAAAGTTTGTAATTTTATTCTTCTCTGTCCAATACATCAGTGTTCAAAGACTGGGTACGAATTTGGCTAAGACTGGCCAACAAAACGTTCACTACTACTG